CAAAGAAGATAATGACTGAGCTGGCAATGAAAGGTGTTTGAGGTATTTTGACAAAGGGGACAGAGTCAAAGGAGAACATTCCCGTAGAGGAAGTAGTATATTTCAAAGGTGCAAATATACAGAATTTGAATCATTCATGATGCTACAAATGGTTCAGTATTTCAGGAGAGTGAAGTGTGAGCAAGGAAGTGGCAAAAACCCCTGAATAAATAGGCCAAAATCAGAGTGAGAAGAACTTTTCATGCCATGCAAATGGGATTAGATTTTTAGGCCCTAAAGTAGTTGAGAATTTTTGAGAGTCTTAAACTTCAGAGTGTCATAGTCATCTTTTTGCATTAGAAATATCATTCTGACAGTACTATGGAGAACGGACTGAATGAGGACAGTACCAAGGCTTGGGAAATGTGTAAGGAGGCTTTTGCAGTAATCTCAGTGAGAAATGATAAATGCCTGAACCAGGGCAGACACAAGGAAATGGAAGGGAGAGAGTTCTGCAATGTCTTGAAATGTAGAATTGACCACCTTGGTAATTGATTTGATGTGAGATGTTGGGGCTAGATAGGAAAGAGAGAGAAACCTAAGATATCTTTGAGATTCGTCTTATGCAACTACATGGATGAAGGTATATTTTCCTGAGATAATAAATTTAGAAGGTAGAAGGTGTGGGGGTATTGAGTTCAATTTTGATAAATGATAACTGCAAGATTCATGAGTGACTTTCCAGCTGCCATGGAGAGTGTGCTACTGGGCATAGGGCCCTGGAGCTTAGCAGGGACGTGGGTATGTGTTTATAGATGAGTTTTTAGATAGTAGTTACATGTTTGCAGATGAAACTCCCTAGGCATTGTGGACGAGAAGAAAAGGCAAAGTGTAGAGCCTTGAGGTACACCAACATTCATGGAGGGCACGCTAGAGAATCCTACAAATGGAACTAATAGAGGCCCAGCGGAGAAGTAAGAGGAGGGCCAAGGAAGCCTGGTGCCACTGAAACCAAGACAGTCCTCTTTGTATTGCCGCTGCCCTGAAGAGAAGAGCATATCACATTTTGAAAAGTTTCAGGCATTGCTCAGACATTCCCTGTGATTTCTTCTTTTTTTCTGGAATGCCTTCCCTAACCTCTACGTAAACTACTACTCTACTGTGAAGCCTTCCTGGCTACTGTATCTGTAAGGTACAATAAACACTTATGACCAAATCACTGGTGGCATTAATCAGAAATTAACTTTGTACTTATATATGCCCATGTTGTCTAGCCAAACAAGAGACAAAGTGTTTATCATGCCTTGCCTGTGGTAGATGTCTCGGGCCAGTCCATTAGAAGCAGAGCCTGAGAGAGGGACCCAGGTGCACATGATTCATTGAGGGAGAAGTGGAGAAGAAAGATGTGATTTTGGGTTGTCTAGTCCTGAACTGGTCCACAGCAGCCAGGGAGAATAACTGCACCATATATTTATCCTTGCTTGAAGTAAGGCTGTTTGGTTTTGTACTCCTGGGTTGGCCAAGGGCAAATCTCTGGAGAAGGTCACAGGTGACAGTCACTAGTCTTGCCCTGGCAGTAGATAGGGGAGGGGTCTGATGACCTATACAAGGGCATCAACAGTGTCCACTGAAGCAGTCAGGCATTCAAGGGTTTAATGATTGCTTTGGATGTCATGGACCCTAGCTCTTTCGATATTTAGCTTGGGAGCTATGGTGAAGAAAAATGGTTTCTCTCTTCATCTCTCTCTCTTCCTCCCCTCTTTACCTCCAGTCCTTTTTGTTTAAAATGAAACTTTATTTTTTGTATTTCTTCTATTGAGAAAAATAAAAAGTTTAAAAAAGAAAATAAGTATTGCCCCAAATTCTAGCACCTTAAGATAATTATTAACATTTCAACATATTTTCTTCAATCTTTATAAAAGCATTTTAGTCAAGACCATTCTGTAAATTAAACAAAAATAGTTATTCTACTTCAAGTCCATAACATGATTAAATCTACACCTAGATACAATTTTATTATGTGATCGAACTATATTATAACCATTCCCTTAATTTGGGGCTTCTAAGTTTTCCCATATTTTCACTTTTATAAAAAATACTTTCAGTAATGATTTTGCCATAGAACTATTCTTCACGTTTTAGATTATTTCTTTAGATTAAATTCCTGAAAATGGAATTACTGGGATAAAATAATAGAATTATAAGGTTCTTGGTAGATATTGCAAATTGCTTTTTTTTAAAATTTGTTTCACAGGATGTGCAATTTAGACTTTCATCAGCAATTGATGAGAATGCCTTTTGCTATACTATGTCAGGGTAGTAGAATCTCCCTTAAAAATTAATTCCTCAGTTCTTTTCAGTGGAAACAGCCACTGAAATACAGTTCCTGTATACTCTTTCAGAGATACGCTATATGTAATGATTTTTTTTTATGTATTAAAGTTTCGTAATTTTGCAAAGATGAATCATTACATAGTCAAATTTGCTAATATTTCTCATGATTGTTTTCCTTTGGCTCTCAAGATAGTCCACTTTTGATTTTCCTCTATCTTTTGTCATTGACTCATTAATATGATTATCTTGGTCAAAGGAAAGCCATATTGATCTTGAAAATTGGCACAATAAAACTTTGTAGAGTGTGTTTGCTTAATCCATTTCACTGTTCTCAGTGGAGCCCATGGGAAGACCCACACACAGTGTAAGCCTTGGATTTTCCAAGCAAGGCAGAAAAAATCAGCTTCATCTTGTCTGAGAGAAGGGCTCAGAAACAATGTCTGCCCACTGCTCGGAGATTTGGAAAGTGATGACGATTCTACCCATTGTTGTTAGAGAATACAGCATTTGCCATAAAGGAAGGTTGTGTGTGTGTTTAGGGTCAGAGTGGAGGTGAGGCATAAATCAGAATGAAGCAAACTCGTGATAGAGGCTAGGTAAGAATAGATAACAACATGTTTTTCAGAATTTATTAGGAACGTATGCTTAGGAAAGTATCCAAGCTCTCTCAAATGCCCTCCTTTTGCTAAATTCCACAGCAACATACTCTTTTATTATATACAAGATTGCATGCATAGGAACCTGCCATACTGGATGGATGTTGTTTTCTCTATGTTCATTCTTCTTAAATCATTTTAAATTTATTTTGACATTTAACTACTTAAAAATAGAAGCCTGAACAAGATAATTTAATTCTGGATCTATATGATGCTAGGATTTGGATAAAATGAACAAAAAATTTATTACTCAAATGTGCTATAAAACAATATAATAATGTATTCCAGAAAGTGTTAGAAAACAATTATAACTGTTCAAAAATCTTGTCCTAAAGATCAGATATTCTGAATTTTTCTTTTTTAAAAATCTTGGTGCAAACAGTTTATGTTTTATTAAATTTCTTCATAAAAATCTAAACCCTTTCTAGTGTAAACCTGGCAACATACTAAATAGCACTATCTGATAAAATAAATCTAAACCAATGAGGCAGAGTTTGAACTGAAGAGGAAAATTTGGTGTAGGACAGCACAGTTCTGTAAGATTTCCCTTCTTGCTGGGATGAGAGAAGGGAGTAAGAGAGAATGGAAATTGAGGTTATAATATGTCATGATTTCTTGTGATGAATGGAAAGCAGTGAACATATTTGAGTCTCTGTTTCTTTAACTTTAATATGGGGAGATAGGCTCGATTTTTAAATTATATGATCTATAACTTGGGTTCTTCATGTTCTCCCCGTGTAGTGAAATAGGAATAGGGACCCACAGAGTTTTCACTCTTGCTAATGGTTGTTTTCCTTGGGATAGCTGGATGAAGGACATAAAGGGAAAGAGAGGGTTTTCTTGTGGAATAACAATTTAGAGAGAGTTTGATGGAGAGCAAGGATAAAACCTTGAGAACAAACTATTAGCTTCCGGAAATAGCTTTTAACACAAACTTGTGGCTAAGAGGTACTCCTGCTTTTCAAAGCCAATTATAGTGATAAAAGAGGGAAAGGGATGAAGGTGAATAGTTAAAAGGCCAGATACCAAGTGTGTTATTCTACCAGTGAGGTATGATGACACCTGAGAAATGGTCAAATATTGGTTGAAACAATTCTAGGCAATGGAACAAAAATGGAAGGCTTCTTGCTTTTCAAATATACAGAACAAAGAGATTTGCCCCTGAAATTTTTGTTAAGATGTTAAGTAGGATGCTATTTTCTGACCTCCTCTTGTGATAATCTCCCGTGACTCACTCATCTGAAGACAAGCACTCTTTTGTTATCCTCAACATGCCAGGAAAGCTTCCCTTTGGGGCTTTGGGCCTGGTTATTTCCTTTCACGGAGTGCTCTTCCCCAGATATTCTTGTGAGAAATTCCCTTACCCTTCAAGTCTTTGCTCAAAAGTCACTTTCCCATTGAGACATTCCCATTGGATGATGCAGCCAGCCTCCTTCTTTCACCCCAGCTGATGATCCTTTCCCCCAAACCCTTCTCATCCCCTTTAATCTGATGCACTCCTTTTTTCCATAGCACTTATGGTCTTCTAATACATGGCAAATTTCAGTTATTTTCAATATTTATTATTTATGGTCTCCTGCTTCCTTCCCCCACCCTCCTTCTATTCCCAGATGGAATGCTAATCTTCAAAAGGGCAAGGAGTTTTTTCTTATGAATGTACCCAAAATAACTAGTACAGTGTCTGACATGTGAAAGGTACATAGGGTACTCAATTTGCATTTGTTACATGAATAAATGAAGGCTTATGCAATCCACATGAACAAGAAGTACACGTCAGCTAACAAATGCAATAGAGAGATTTTATATATGTCTGCTTTTCCTGTAGCTAGTAGGTATAGAAACAGGAAGCCATATAGACTAAAGGTTTGTTTTGATTTCTGGGAGAAAAACTACCTAGAAATGAGTCATTTTACTACCAAGTTCACAGTGTTTTCCGAGGTTAATAATATTTTGGTTTTGGGTGATGGTTCAAAGTTTTTTTTTTTAGAGTCCTGTGTTATATATTAGCTTATTTTAATCTCTATTTTACAGTAAGAAAACCAAAGTTCAGAGAGGCAAAAACTCCTGTGCAACAAATGTGACCTCACAGAATGGTACTCAGGCTTTCTGATTCCACAGCTTTCCCGTAACACAGAGAAGATAAAAGGACTACGTCATTTAGAGGACAAAAGACTTAAAAAAGCGGTGTGTATATGTGTGTGTGTGTGTATAAAAGGGATTCGGATTGTAATATCTGTTCACAGAGACAAAGTGACCTACATTTATTGTTCAGTACTCAAAATATGTTTTAAAAGCTTAAAATGCCTAAAATATTTTCATACTGTTCATTGTTGCCACAAAATTTATACTCTGTAAGGGGGGTTATTATTATTTTCTCTGTTTCTTGTAACCATAACCCATTTGAAAAATTATCAATACTGAAACCTTGTCATTATTTTCCAATAGTTTTCAGCTCTGTAGCCTTGACTTTTCGATGTTAGACAGCAGTTTTTCCTCTTTGTTAACATGTATTTATCAGATATTTTATTTCTGGGATACACAGCTGTTCACTGTAAAACTATTCTTTTAAGTGTCAGCCTTCAATCATTTAGCCATTTCATTTCTATTTTTTCCCCTAGCAGCTGTTCTATTGATTGTCTAGAAATTGTTCATCCTATGTTTAAAATTATAACAGGAAGTGCAAAATTAAAAGGTTACATGTAAAAAAAGGATGCTGGAGTCATAAGAACACAAGTACTGTGCTCCAAGAAACTAACATATATCTACACACACACACACACACACACACACACGCACACACACACACACACACACACACACATTTGAAATGCATATCTACAGACAATAATATTAACTTTATTGAAATAATTCAGGAAAAATATCAAGTATATTAAGTGAATACCACGTTAGTTACTTTGCTGAATGCTGAGGCACTGTTTCAGGAAGTTGGTATAATACTATTATCCTTATTTTACAGATGAAGAAACTGAATTTCAGGGAAGCTAAGTAACCTGTTCAAGGTTCCACAAGTATGCTGCAGAGATGAAGTTGGAATTCAGTTTTATCCTGATTTCAAAATGCTTGTGTTTCGCTGACTCTTAATCTCTTTTTTCCTGAACTATTTCAGATATATAAGAATTATACAGAGAAAATGAAAACATATGTATTTATCATCTAGCTTAAGAAGTAGCACATGGTAGACATAATTGGACCCCTAATTTTATCTCCCAATCCCATTCCCTTGCTTTTCCTTCTGAATCCTGAATTTGTGTTTATCATTCCCATTCATATTTTTTATAGATGTACTACATGTATATTTATGTCTCAAAGCAATATTTAGTGTTGCTATGTTTTGGAATTTTATATACTGTGTGAAAATTTACATTTTCACTCAACATTATTTTCACTGCTTTTTTATTTCAGTTTTTTGTTTGAAAAGAACACCATTTTTTGATCCATCTTATGTTTATAGATGTTTAGGCTGTCTCTAACTTTTAGCAATGACTTTACATTTTTGACAAGTTGATGGGTGCAAAACAGTGTTTATTGTTTTATAATTGGCACTTTCCTGATTGTATTGAAGTGGAATTTTTTTTGTATATTTATTGGCAATTAATATTACCAGTTCAAGTATTTTGCCCCTTTCTTCTATTGAGTTGTTCATCCTTTTCTTATTAATTTTAGGGTGACTACAGATGATAATCTCTATAGATGTCTTCCTGAATTTATTTTTCTATTTATCATGTCTTTTGATCTACAAGTATTTTTCATATGTTTAAAGGTTTATTAGTCCATTTTCACATTACTATAAAGAAACTACCTGAGACTCGGTAATTTATAAAGAAAAAGGTTTTCTTTTATTTATTTTTATTTATTTATTTCTTTTAGAGACAGGGTTTTACTATGCTGCATAGGCTGGCTTGAACTTTTGGGTGCAAATGATTCTCCTGCTTTGGCCTCCGAAAAGTGCTGGGATTACAGGCATGAGCCACCATGCCCAGCTATGAAAAAAATTTCAGTTGACTCACAGTTCCACATGGCTGGGGAGGACTCATAAATCTTACAATCATGGCTGAAGGTAAAGGGGAAGCAAGGCATGTCTTACATGGCAGCATCAGAAAGAGAAAGTAATATGAGAGATGAGTACCAAACACTTTTAAACCACCAGATCTCCTGAGAACTCACTCACTATCACAAGAACAGCATGGGGAAACTGCTCCCATGATCCAATCACCTGCCACCAGGTCCCTCTCTCAACACACAGGTATTACATATTCAAGATGAGAGATGAGTGGGGACAGAGAGCCAAACCATATCAAAAGGAAATTTTTATTTCTTTTTCTGTGAGTTGTCTTTTGATATCCTTTGCCAATTTGCAAAGGATATCTATTTTTCCATTGGAGCTTTTTGTCTCTTCCTCAACTTTTTTTTTAATTGTAAGGGTTATTAACTAGTTTTCTTTTCTCTTTTCTTCTTTTCTCCTTTTCTCTCTCTCTCCTTCTTTACCTCCCCCCCTCCCTCCTTCCCTTCCTTCCCTTCCCTCCCTCCTCCCTTCCCTCCTTCCTTCCTCCTTTTCTCCCTCCTTCCTTCCTCCCTTTCTTTCTCCTCTCCTTTTCTTTCCCCTCCCTCCCTCCCTCTTTCCCTCTGTCTCTCCTTCCTTCCTTCCTTCCTTCCTCCCTCCCACCCTCCCTCCCTTTCCTTCCTTCCTTCTTCCCTTCCTTCTTCCCTCCCTCCCTCCTTCCCTCCTTCCTTCCTTCCTTCCCTCCTTCTTTTTTCTCTGTTGCCCATGCTGGAGTGCACTGACATTATCATAGCTCACTGTAGCCTTGAACTCCTGAACTCAAGCAATCCTTGTCTCAGCCTCCCGGGTAGCTAGGACTACAGACACCATGCCCAGCTAATTATTTTTTCTTTGGCAGACACGGGGTCTCACTCTGTTGCTTAGGTTGGTCTCAAATGCCTAGGCTCAAGTGATCCCCCCACCTCAGCCTCCCAAAGTGCTGTGATTACAGGCTAGAGCCACCACACCTGGCCTCTTCTCGTATTTTTGTAATGTTACTTTTTATATTTAAATCTTAACATCCTTTGAGAATGTATCTTACTTTGATTCACCCTTATCTTGGCTATTCAGTTTTTCCATCAGAATTTATTTAAAAGTCCATCTTTATCTCACCAGTTTCAGGTGCCTCTGAATTCTTATGTGCATTTGAGTCTATTTCTGGACTTTCCATTTTTTTCCATTGGTTTGTCTATTTATGTAACGTTATACACTATTTTTATGATCAAATCTTTACAATATAATTTAATATATGCTAAGGTTAGTTGCTCCTTATTGTCCTTTTTAAAAGTTTTCCTAGCCACTCCTGATTTAGAACTTTTCTATATGAACTTTGGTATCAGTTTGGCTACCTCTTTTACAAAATTCTTTTGGAATTTTGAGATTTTGTTGAATTTATGAATTAAGTTAGGTAGAATTAATATCCTAATGATGTTTCCCATCTATAAACATAGAATGACATTTCATTCATTCAAGTCTACTTCTTTTTTCTTTTTTCTTTTTTTTTTTTGAGACAGAGTCTCATTTCATCGCCAGGCACCAGGCTGGAGTGCAGTAGTGCAATCTTAGCTCACTGCAACCTCTGCCTCCGGGGTTCAAGCAATTATCCTGCCTCAGCCTCCTGAGTAGCTGGGACTACAGGCACATGTCACCACATCCAGCTAATTTTTGTATTTTTAGTAGACATGGGGTTTCACCATGTTGGTTGGCCAGGATGATCTCGATCTCTTGTCCTTGTGATCCGCCTGCCTCAGCCTCCCAAAGTGCTGGGATTATAGGCATGAGCCACTGTGCCTGGCTCGAATCGACTTTTATGTCCTTTAAAAGTGCTTAAATTTTTGTAGAAATAAATTATGGATTTTATAAAACTATGTTTCTGGTTATTTTAGGAATAACGGTTTATTCCTAATTGTTTTATCTTTTTTTGCTGCTGTTTTGAATTAGGTCTTTTCTCCTGTTTTATCCTCTATCAGGTTATTGTTTATAAAGTGGACTATTGATACATATATATTAATTTGATACCCTACTACCTCACTGAATTTCCTGATTGCTTTTAGTTTATGGTAAATTCTCTCTGAGTTTTCAGTTATACAATATACCATCTGGAAATAGTGATAGTTTTACTTTCTCCATTAAAATATTTCTGTGTATAGACCTTTCTTTGCTTGGGAAAGGAATAAAATAAAAAATACTTCCATGTATAATTCTTTTTTCAGTTTTATCACATTGGCTAATATTTCAAGAATAATATTAAATAGCCGTGATGACAAAACACATTCTTACCTTTTTCCTGAGTTAAGTGAAAATAATGCCAATCTTTTGCCTTTCACTATGATGCTGATTTTTTTCTTATATGAATAGGGACATATAAATAAATACATATGTATATTTACATATGCATATGTACATGCACATACAGGTTTATACATATAAATACCTATATGTATGCAGGTGTATATATGTTTATCTACAGATATGTGTGTATACATATTATATATATCTGTGCATATGTAGGCTGAGATATGTTTGTATATGTATTTTATAGATGTATAATGCAAAAATTCAGCTGAATGATCTTAATAAGAGTTGGCGTTTAATTTTTTGATGTCAATGAAGATACATGACATTTCTCCTGAAATCTTTTAATGCAATTCATTATATTCATCAATTTTTCAATATTCAGCCATTGAATTTTTAGAATCTCTTCCTCAGTGCAGTTGTTTTTTTAAGGTGTTTTTGGGTCATAATTGTTAAACCTTAAGATTTCACCAGGCGCAGTAGCTCATGCCTGTATTCCCAGCACTTTAGGAGGCCAAGGTGGGGCGGATCACAAGGTCAGGAGTTCAAGACCAGCCTGGTCAAAATAGGGAAACCCTGTCTCTACTAAAAATATAAAAACTAGCCACACATGGTGGCAGGTGCCTGTAGTCCCAGCTACCTGGGAGGCTGAGGCAGGAGAATCACTTGAACCCGGGAAACGGAGGGTGCAATGAGCAGAGATCATGCCACTGCACTCCAGCCTGGGTGACACAGCAAGGCTCTGTTTTTTTTTTTTTTTTTTTAAATCCCTTAAGATTTATGCGTTGATATTTATAAGTGATATTGGCCAGAGCCAATAATCTAGTATGTTATTTACTTATTTACCTTTTCCTTGGATTTCCCAGGACTTGTAGCTAATTTGTACTTAAACTCCAAGCCAGGATATGGGCACATTTGGTGAGCAAATGTTATGAATCCCTTCTCTCATAAGTACCTTTGAATGTGAGCTTTACATACAGGTATGCAAGCCAATGCCTTGTTTCCTATCTCACATGTCTTTTAAGACTCAAGTCTTCTAATTACTGAGCTCAATTCAGTGTGTGACAGAATGTTTGCTATAAACAACATGGCATCTGGCTTTCTCCAGGCCAAATGATCTGAAGGAGAGAAATGGAAGCTGAGTTGGAAGCTGCAGTGTCTCTGACAACCTAATCTCAGAGATGATTATTTCTACCATATTTTTTTGGTCACACAGATTAACTCTGGTATAATATGGGAGGGGATTACACAAAGTTTCTAACACCAGGAAGAGGTGATCATTGGAAGCCATTTTACATGCTGGCTGCCATAGTACATTCCCAGTTTTAAATTATTTTACTTATACTACATACTAACAGTTTACAATTGCAAAGACACAATGAAATGGTATGATAGAACAGATATCTGAAGGTGTCAAAAGATGGCAAAGGGGAAAAGGAAATTTAAATAGAAGGTTTTTACAGACAAACTTAGCTAGTCAATGGTGGATTTGTTTGTTTCAGAATAATTTTATACTGGTGAGTTTGTTTCCTTACAATACAACTGATGTAGGAATTTTCTTCTCAGTCACTCTACAAGCTGGGGACTCCTGGCTGGCAATGCCCCACCCAGGCCTCACTCTACCACACTTGAGTGCCCCAGCTTGCCTGTGTTATAGTTTGTACCTGTGTTCAGCAGTTGCTGAGCTCTTTACACCATGCCCAAGAAGAATGAGGATATACTGGACATTGAAGCATAAGGAGGGCAGAGAAGAATTTAACTGAGTAATGAAAACAGCTCTCAGAAGAGAGGGAAGCGGGAGAAGGAATGGTAAGAGCAGGTTGTCTGGCCCAAAGTCAGGTTGTCTCTCCCTTTACCAACTGTATCTGGGGTTTTTAAGGCACAGGATGGGGAGTGCATGCTGACTGGTTTGTGAGTATGCCAAAAAGTTTAAAGCAAAGACACCACTCAAAGGTGGGCATGACAGTGTAGAAAACCAATTAGGAAATGGTAGGTATCTGTAAAATACATGACTGGTGGGGTCCAATTAGAGAATAGCACACCAAACAGGAAGACAAGTTCTCAATCTGGTCGTAGGATTTAACTTGTAGCTTGGCTTTCAGGCTTTAAACTGTCTTCACCTTGCAGGTGGGGTTTCACTGGGGACCTGCCCCTATTAGCCTATGCATTTAGCTGCCTCCTGTCACTATCACAACTGTGAATATATCAATATAAAAGACACTGTGAAATTGCTGAACAAATGTAGAGTTTGAAAATATTTTAATATAAATAGTTCAAACAAATGATTGTTCTCTTTTCAAAAAATGAGACATTTCACCTAAACTTAGGGTTAATCACTCTCAAGATTTTATTAGAGAAACAGATGAATTTTTATTCTCTTCTTAGAACACCTTTAGAATTTAAACATATTATTCTGTTGTTATATGTAGTGAACTCCAATTTTCCCTTTAAAGAAGTAGTATGTCAGTATGTTCAGCTCTCTTATTCCTTAATTTTTCATTTTAAAGTTTAACTTCCTGGTTCTCTGTGCCCCCTTGTCTCTAGTTTCGGTAAACAAATTTCCCACCAGTTCTAATCAGTAGTTCATATCGGTTCTCCTGGTCACCTGCTTTGACCTGAGTCGCCCTGGTCACCTGCTTTGACCTGCATCACTCT